GTAGGGCATTCAAAAATGGTCAGCGAACAGAGTCTAATATATAAAAGACTTGGGTTTTTGGTTAAAAGAAAAAACTTATGAGTTGAACCGTCCAAATATGCGTCTGGGGGGAGAATCCGCACTTTCGGAGATTCTCTGTTATCATGAGTAACTTTGCGTCACAACCTCTATCCAAAAGTTGACCAAAACTTGAATGCGGTTGCGATCTATCAATAGCTACAATCTATTCATTTTGTTTTCTGCATAAAAAAAGAGTTCATTAGTCTATATTTTGAAAAAGGAACAAGTAAAAAGGGGAAAGGACTTGAAAATGATGGGAAAAAACCTACTCGGTTCATGAAATTTACAGACCCTGTTGTACTTAAAGAAAAATATTTGGTTTCGTATGGTCCTACATTACTTGGATAACCAAATATTTCTCCCTCGATCATTGATTGGTTGGAGAGGTAATACGAATCTTTATCTTTGCTCTTCTTAAAAACATATGCGCATGCGAGCTCCAACGTCTTTGGCTCTTCGAGGTCGTGCTTGCAGAACGACATATACATAGCAATTGTTATCATATATGCGTTCGGTGTCAGCTAGAATGGTGCTACCTAGAAGTGGTTGAGAATCGACCTGATGTAAGGGTGGAAGGGAATTCTCACTCCATATTTGAAAATTGCTTCGGAGATTGTAGCCATTCCCTCGGAAGGATCTTTAGCCATGTATTGGCGCTTTTAGAATACCTTTACCAAAATCTTGTATTGGTCCAATGCCTTCTATATTTCCTCCAGCGTGGCAATTGACCTTATCAACTTCCCAAGTCCTATAGAAGTACCCGGTTGGTGTGAGCTTTCACCGCCGGCTTTTCTCATTTCAAGGATCTTCATTGGCTCTAATGTCTGTAAAGGTACGACATTCCAGGGGGACTCAAACCTGGAAAAATCTACTTCATACGATGACTCAGAAGAAGTAGAGGAAAGCTCTACGGTTTTTGCCATGGCCGTTTGGTTTCTACCCCTAAAAACTCTTAATAATGGTCCTCTAGGACTTTTACCTTAAGTTTTTAAACCTTTAAGTGTTTTTCTCAAACGCTACCCAGAAGTGCCCTTTCCTAACCTACCAGATACCTATAACCACCATGACTATAAAAAATTGTAGAAATGTAAAAACGAGTAAATGAAAGAAACTTATTTACCTCATAGTCATCGGAAATGGGTGCCCGGACGTAGTGTTGGGTTCTCATGAATTGGTGAAGGGAGAAAGAGTTTTTTAGAGCAAGAAAATGGTGTTTTCTCTCTGAAAAAATTTGAGTTCTCTAAAAAATTAGGGCAAAGTTAGGGTTTTGTGTGAAGAAGGTGACGCTACAACTTCTTTATAAGCAAATTTTGGGCGGGAGTTCATTCTTGTCTGTAGATCGCGACCACGTGTCATCAATCTGGGAAGAGCAACTTCCACGCCAAACAGAAACCAATCGACGTTAACTTGTATCAGGAACGTCAACCGCCAACATAATTATCTCTTCCGCAATTAATGCACCATCATCTGCATTTAATGTGCCAAAAGAGAATGTCATATTAGTATGACTTGAATTTAATGTTCACGATTGACACTTAATGCGCACAGTGACACATCTGTTAGATAAAGATTAGTTTATTGACTGAGCCAACTATCAAATGCGACAAATAACATTTGAAGAGGTTATTCAAAAGAGACATTTATTCAACATGTCAAACACGAACACCAAACAAGATGATTAAAAATTTTCAGCCATGGGAAAATTAAGCTTTTCAAGTCATGAGTGACAATTAGAGTTCAAAACGTCCTCTAATGTCTCAAGGCAAGGTCAAGCTCAAGTCGATAGATCTTAGTGAATGATCACATGTAACGGACCGCCTGGCTCTGACACCCTGACTGGTCCGGCCACGGAGTTCACACAGCTCCCTACGTGGCAGGTACTGTCCCCCGCCCCTTCCTTAAGGGATTTCTTCGCCTCCCCCATGGCTCGAACCCATGCCCAAGGGGCTATAGGCAAATGAGAAGCACCATGATACCATCATGCTAGCTTTTTTATGTAACGGCCCCACACAGGTGGCCGGCCATGATCACACAGCATGGTAGGATATCTCTCCCCCATTTAAGGAGATTTCTTTCGCCTCCCTCACCACTCGAACCCAAGACCAATGGGCTATAGTCAATTTGGGCCTGATGGTACTCACCATCAGGCCCAAATTGACTATAGCCCATTGGTCTTGGGTTCGAGTGGTGAGGGAGGCGAAAGAAATCTCCTTAAAAGGGGGGGGGGGGGGGGGGGAGAGAGATATCCTGCCATGCTGTGTGATCATGGCCGGCCACCTGTGTGGGGCCGTTATATCACATCAGGTCGCATGCCTTACTCTCAAGTCATAGTTTACGACCTACAGCCATATCGCAAGTCAAGCCAAAATTTCAGAAGTTAGATTAAGCACCCAACTTCAGGTCACCTGCAATGATGTGATTGCTTCTCAACTCTTAGCTCGAGCGAGCATCTCGAAGTCAAGTCAAGTCGCAGCATAAGCATGAACTTCTCAAGATCCAATTCCTTGAATCTCAAGAACTAGGGAGCTTCTTTTATGCCTAAAAAATCAAGGTTGACATAACCTGATGTTAGTAAGCACCAATCAAAGTTCAGGAAGGCTTTGCGTCGTCAGAATCTAGCACGTTGCCCAAGACAAGAAGAATCTAGTTGTCAACAACCTAGCCGACTCAAGTTTTGTTTATGAATGAATTTGGTTCGCATACTTGTCCAAGCCCCATTTAATTTAAGGATATTTCCTAAGTTATCAACCAATGAGGTGCTAGAAAGGATTTGCACGACACCTACCCACTTGCAAATATGTAATCATTACCTTGAGCTCAGCGAGTATAAATAGGCAGCTCCCGCTCACAAAATTGAGATCAAACACTCAGAATTTAACATAGAAAATAGCAAAGACACCCTATGGGAAAGAGACCGACTTAATGTTCTCTTAGAATACCAAGCACTTGTAACTCAGATCGCAGTTCGCGATCTCTTTTAAACTTAGCTTATCTCCGAGAATACTCATATAAAAGAAAACAGTGAATGTAGGAATCTCTTTAAGCATCTGAACCACTGTAAAATTCTCATCATCTCATTTACTCAAAGTCTTTGTATGCTACTATGATAACAGTACCCCCATAGTCATTTCACGTGTAATTTCTAGGATGTCTCTTAGCACTTTACACATGCGAAGTTGTTGGTGTCAAGATTAAGCATCAACAATATACACATGCGAAGTTGTTGGTGTCAAGATTAAGCATCAACAATATATATATATATATATTTTTTTTTTTTTAATTTATCCTTCTTGAAAAGAAAATTCTGGTTTCTCCCATGTGTTTAACAACAACCAGATTATCCCTCTTTTCGAGGCCGATAATGAATCCTTTGCCAATGGAACCTCTACAGTAAGATGGATCAAAAAGAAATATATAGATGATATTTTCCATAACAAGAGACGAGGCGACACCTAAACTAAGTATATGATGGAATTCATATTTATTTCTAAGGTAGCTTCCTTATACAAATGTATGTTGCAGCAAAATCCTTAAGTTCGCAATAATCCCTTAACTGTATGTAGTACAATCAGCTTTGGGAATCAAACCTTTGACTTAAATGTCATTAATGAAATCTTTTACTTCAAAAAATTTTCCTTTGTTAAGAACCCAATAATCAAGCTATTATAAATCATCTCGCCTGGACTAACTCCTTGGTCCATCATTTCACCATATAATGTCATTGCCTTATGAAGATCTCGATGCTATGCATAATAGTGAATGAGTGCATTGAACACAGGTAGATTAAGAGGCAAATTAGTTTGTAACATTTCTCTAAAGAGTTTCTCTAATACTACAGTTGCCTCTTTGGGGTTCCCCTAATTAGATAGGATGATAAGTATTTAGAGTTATTGTTATGAAAACTCACAACAACCAGAGATATCCATCGACCATGGCGAGACTGGGTAGGATGTGTATGTGATTATAAATAACTAGCTAGGAACGGATTGGTGAATCCATAATGCAAGAACATAAGAGACTTTTAAAGTAGTTCAGTGGGTTATAACCAAGCTTACGTCCATTGCTACATTATTGCTTATTTTTGTTATGTACACAAAGTGATTACGTGGGGGGAAAAACATGTAATAACAAGCTAAGACTCTCTCTTAGTGATTTCCTATGCTTGTATGAATAATAATTGGTCGATCCCCCAAAGTGGAGATGGTGCCCTTCCTTTTATACACATAGTCTGACTTAATGAAATTAAATTGAGATTTTGAAAAGCATGGGAAATATGTTACATTTGAGAAAAGATGTTTTCATAGATTATATCAACATGTAATGTTTAATTTGTAAATTAATTTTAGAAAAATTTGCATATAGAAATGTGTTTCACTGATGTCAATGTCAAGCAATCATATAATATATATGTTCAATAACCTAAACTTTTGACTTAAATGAGAACTCTAATTGTTAGTCATAGATTTCGAACAATGACATGGTTTAATAGTTTATATGTAAATCAATCACATATAACATATAGCTCGTTCAATAAAATACATGAGGAGTAATTATTGTCTGCATTCAATAAATGGTCTTAAATGTAATTATATATATATATATATATATATATATATATATATGTGTGTGTGTGTGTGTGTGTGTGGTATGAGAAAATGAGTGAGATGCAAGATGCAACTCAGGCTGGGGAAAGTGCAAGAAGTGAAGCTGAAATTTGTGAGGAAGTGCTTGGTAAAGCTTCTGGCTTCAACCAGAATTTTGCTTTTTGTGTGACTCAGCAGCATGATATAGTAGAAGCAACTGAGTTAAGGTGCATAGTTGAACAACAACAAAATAGTATTAAAGATTTAAAGGAGTAGCTCACACAATTTGATCAACAGAAGGAGAAAATCAAAATGTTTGAAGAACAATAAGCTCGTATGTTGGAGATCCAGACTCACATGACTATAGTAGCTGCACACGTGCAACCTGCTACTGCTCCAACTCAACTGCCATCTCCATCTCCAACTGATGAGGAATCTTCCTCATCTGTTACAACTGCTTCTAGAACCTTAATTGGTAACGTTTGAGATGCTAACATTGAGGGTTAGTTTTTTGTTGTATATCCATCTCCAACTGATGAGGAATCTTCCTCATCTGTTACAACTACTTCTAGAACCTTAATTGGTAACGTTTGAGATGCTAACATTGAGGGTTAGTTTTTTGTTGTATATCCATCTCCAACTGATGAGGAATCTTCCTCATCTGTTACAACTGCTTCTAGAACCTTAATTGGTAACGTTTGAGATGCTAACATTGAGGGTTAGTTTTTTGTTGTATATCCATCTCCAACTGATGAGGAATCTTCCTCATCTGTTACAACTACTTCTAGAACCTTAATTGGTAACGTTTGAGATGCTAACATTGAGGGTTAGTTTTTTGTTGTATAGGCAATAGATATTTTGACATGGGGGTAGGCTAATCTTTTTGGACTTTTTGGGATTGCTTGCACATATCCTTAGATGGTGTATATGAGGTGGGCATTTTGTTTGTTGGAGTTATGCATTAGATAGATAGGTACTGATAAAAATGTGGGGTGCATGCTTTCTTTTTTGGTTATGCACACATGATAGTGCATTTTGGAGTTTTATTGCTCATCATGTATAAAACTTCATGTATGCACTATATATATATATATGAAATGAAGATATTTTATGTTATTGATCCATATTTTATTATTATGTCACTCTTATTTTGTTGAGGTTGAATGTATGGATATTAAAAATTAGATCCATTAAAAATGTTTCCAAATAGTCAATTTTAGATAGTGAATGTTGACTATCTGCATCTAAATTACATGCATTATCTCCCATAACCCGGATCTAAGTCAGTCTCGCCCGTGCTTAAGTTTGAACACTCATACTTAGCTCTGATGAGCTTGTTTGTGAAGTCGTCTCTTATGGGAGCGACATGTGGGACAATACTGACCGCTAGATCTTGGTATAGTTTGTAGACAGTTGGCACAAATATGGCCGTCAGAAAATCATGCTAAACAAGAGTCACATTAACACATAAATAAGTCAATAATTAAGTTGCTATGAGTTGGAATAGAGAAAACATATACCTGTTTAATTCCCATATTCCAAGATTTTTAATGCAACATATGGAGTAATTGTTTAATACAAATCCAAATACTTGTTTTCCTTACCTGAAACTCAAACGTTGATAACGGGATACTAACTGAAGTCAGTTGTTCAAAAGAATTGTATTTCCTTCTCCTCTTCGCCATAACTGAATATTGTTACCTGTATATTTCATTTTGTGTGATGAATCCGTAAAATAGAAAGATTATCATCTAAATTTGTTCCCATTGGTGCATTTTACACCTCTCAGTTTCTCCTATATATAACACTTTCCTTCTCTCATGTCATCAATATGAAAATACATTTGACTGGTAGTTTATTTTTCTGGTCTATTAGTTACAACCAATTGATCTACGACTACTTACAGGTTAAGTTTCTTCACCAACTATTTTTTATGTCATCCATCATGTATATATGTCAACTTTAAAGTTTAAACCTGTCTACAAAAACTACAAGGGATCACAATTAAGAAGCTGTAACATGTGGCATATTGTAGTGTTGATACTGCACTTGTCATCAACTTGGGTTGATGGAGTTCAACAAGTTCCTTGTTACTTCATTTTTGGAGATTCTTTATTCGACATTGGGAATAATAATGACCTTCAAACCGAGGCTAAGGCTAATTTTCCTCCATATGGGATCGACTTTCCAGGAGGGGCTACGGGAAGATTTACGAATGGTCGAAACATGGCAGATATTTTAGGTTCTCTTCTAATGAATTTCTCCACATATAATTACTGTAGTTTCACTTTGAGAAATTAGTATCAAAATGATTAATTGAAGTGTTGTTCTTGCAGCTGAACTTCTAGGATTTGACGGTTATATACCATCTTTTGCAAGTACCGAAAAAGGTCAACAAGACATTTTCAAAGGTCTAAATTATGCATCTGGAGGATCTGGAATTCTTAATGAAACTTCCAAAAACCACCTTGTAATACAAACACTCACTGCCCTTTTCCATTTGAAGTACTTTTAAATTATTTTCTTTCAATAAATTTTTACACATATTTTATGCATTGCAGGGAGAAGTGATTAGCTTGGACCAGCAGTTACAGAATCACGGGAAAATTGTCTCAGAAATTATGAGAATAAAAGGAGACAAAAAATCAGCAAAAGATCATCTAGGACAATGCATATATACAATTGGAACGGGCAGTAACGATTACATTAACAATTACTTCTTGCCTGTCTTTTATCGTACAAAGAACCAATATACATCAGAGCGATATGCCACCGTTCTTATTCAACAATTTTCACAACCATTAAAGGTGTGTTCGTCGTCATTTCTTTAATGTTAATTCTGTGATTTTGATATTGCTTATTCTAAAACAATTTCAAAACTAAAATACTCAGTTTATAAATGTGCTAGGACTTATACAACTATGGAGCGAGGAAGATAGCAATATTCGGATTAGGTTTACTTGGTTGTACTCCAGCAATTCTTGCAATGGATGGCACAGATGAAATCATATGCGTAGACTCCATGAACTTGGCAGTCAAGCAATTTAATAATAAACTCATACGCCTAGTGGATAAACTCAACAACAATCTTCCGGGTGCTAAGTTTAGCCATGTCAACGTCTCTGGGATTTCTTCTACCCCTATACCTGGTACTATATATGAACATAATTTTATGATTTTTTCTTTATTATTTTCTTTTCTGGTATCCGCCCTTGGGCTCCATGATTGTATGTTTTTATATCTTATTAGTGTTGATTATTTCAGGAGTTACGGTGATGAAGACTCCATGCTGTGAAGTAGGAAATTTGACAGTGAATAACGAGGCGTTAACATGCACTCAATTTGGTAATTCATGTCCTGATAGAGCTAAGTACACATTTTGGGATGGAGTGCATCCAACCCAAATTACCCAAGTCTTTATCGGAAAAAGAGCATACAAAGCTCAGTTTTCTCTTGATACTTGCCCATTTGATATTCATCACCCGGCTCAACTTTAATATATAAAATGACTAAAGTTTGAACCACTCAATTTTATTTATTTATTTATTTTTATCTTATGTAACAGTGTATTATTTATTTTATGAAAAATATCTCTTATATTATTTCAATTTTCTAATTCTTATATATATATATATATAATTGTCAAAATTACTGTCAATGAAAAAATACAAATACTTTCAATGCAAATTCTTGTTTTTCAAAACGCGTATCTTATTTTTAAAAGTGGATTAAAGACAATACATATACCATTAATTTGAATTCATTATAATCTTGTTGAGAAGAGAAGCAAATTTAATTTCAATTTAAGAATTTAAAATATAAAAGAAGAAGGGTGTTAGAAAAAAGAGCACAAAACGATATATATAGAATAAATTCTAACTAAATTTTTGAGAAATTACATAACTAAGAGGTATTCTTTTAAAAAAAATAAATCAAACAATCTTGAATTATAATAAATTTTAAATTTGGATTTAAACTATAATAACTATTAACAAAACTGTATTACCTAACTTTCCCGCTTCTTTCATTTTGTCCTTCTTCCGCAACATTTCAGTAATGGATTTTTGTCATTAAGGATTATATAATCGTGCTATAATTTTTTACTTCTAATAAAACCGTAATCTCTAAACCCAATTGCCCCAACAACAATAAATAAAGTATGTATCCGACACCTGGAGGCCCGCCGTCGCCTAACTTGGGGACTGGCTACGCCATGTTCGGCCCTGTTGGCCACACAACCACTACACTCCGTCACACTTAGCCGCACAACCACCACACTCGACCACGCTCTGCCACTGCACTATCTGCCACCTAACAACCAATCAGGTAACCTTTAACTCCATTCGCGGCTGCCTAGACAGCAGGCGTGGTGGCCCTATTTTTGGGTTCAGATTTTTTTTTTCCTTCTCTTGGAATCTATTTATTTTCATTTTTATGTTTTTTTTCAGGAGATGAGTTCTTATAAGGATATTACTGGAAGCTTTCATATTTATGGAGTTTTGATATTTTTCTTCCTCTTTTGCTGTCACTGGAACTATCCACTGATGTTTCTGCATGCAAGCTATTGTGACTGAATTTTGAATATGTGATATGGATGTGTTAATGCTTGAACTCTTTCATTTAAATTTTCATTTTACTTTGCTACTAATTTAAAATAGTGTTCTTGAGTCTTGACTAAGGTGGATATAACAGAGACATGGAAGACAATTTTTCCCCCCAGACCAAACACTTTTGCATAAATTTGGATTACTCTAATAATTCTGTAAGTCATCAATACTCCTTTTTGGAATCTTGACATAGAATTACTTTAAAATTAAATTGAAGTCAAGGCTTGATCGAAGTAATGCCACACATATTTGATAAAAGGCATCCAAGTTGTTAAAACTTCTCTTAGAAAGACTCGGCGAAATTTCTCTTACTATGACTCAGTCAAACCATGGAAACCTGGATGTATCAATCTGATCTATAAAAATGAGGATGTTATAACAAGCTTAGATGCTGAATTCTTACCTCCTAATTTGTTTGTGAATAGATACTATATGATCAATTAATCATGGCATTGCAATACGTATTCCGAAAAATTTCCTTTCCATTGCTGGGCATGGTTTCAGTTTATGCAAATCTATTACTGCCCAATTGTCCAAATCAGTCTGGCAATGTCACAATCTCTTATCCTTTTGGAATTGGATCTGGTTGCTATCAAGAGGAGTGGTTTTCTATAATAATACAATAGAATCTCTCTATAATGATACTCTATAACTTCTATGTAATCATAAAAAATTATGGTCTCAACTTAGATCGATTATAAATAAGAATAAATTTCACATTATAATAATTTATAATTTTTCTAAGTCTCATCTTAAGAAACTTGCCTCTATATAGTAATAATTATATGTATATTGCAAAAAATATATGCTATGTTACATTTAAAGTTTAAGATGAAATAAAATATTTATCTAAAGTTGTTTAAAATAATGATTTATGCTTTAAAGCAGTTACCATGTCTTTTATCTTGCAAGTATGAAATAAGTTGCAATTATAGAAACATTCTTGTTGAAACCAAAATATTTCTAATTCTCAAGCATGTTTAAAGCTTCTTGGCATAAAATTTTTGGTATTTTTATACTATCATCTCAAGATTATCTTCTTCATCTTCTTGTCTAATTCAAATAATAATCTTTTCTTCAATTAAAATATACACGACTTGTTGCTCATTTAGATGATAGAGGAAGACATTAATATTTATTTGATTAGTGTAGTGAAGTTGTCGAATCTGATCACTCAATTTTACTATAACTCTTTGATATCCAGTTCCGTACTATATCCTAATACTATTGAAACAATGAATTGAAATTTTAATACTACTAAAATATGAATTATAAAATAAGAAATTAAAACAATAATTCTAGTAAATATAGAGCTGGGCATTTGGGACCGGGCCCAAGAGCTCAGCCCTAAAACCCGGTCCTAGGACCGAGAGGACCGGTCCTTTTGGGACCAGGCCTAAGGAGGAGGGCCCGGGCCCTCCATTGGGCCCTACTCCAAGGCTCGGGCCTGGGCCCAATTTTTTTGTATTAAATTTATCATTTTAATCCCCTGTAAAATTACATTAAACCCCTTATTAATTTTAAATAAGTATAAATTACAAGGGCTAAATGAAATTTTACAAAATTTATTAAAAAAAAAAAGTATTTTAACTTTTTATAACCATTGGCTGCTGCCAACGGTTATAATTATATTATTAATTATAAGATTCCCCCCCCNTGCCAACTGGAGAGAATTATGAGAAGGAAAATACAAACCAAGACCAGGAGCTTGCTTGATATATCTAACGATTTTCAAGGCAACAACCATATGAGAGTTCTTAGGAGACTGCATGAATTGGCTGAGAAGATTTACTGAGTAACTAATGTCTGGCCGAGTTTGACAAAGATAAACAAGCTTACCCACAAGCCTTTGATAAGAAGTAGTAGGATCAGATAAGAGAGTATCATTTGAGAGATTAAACAACCTGTCATACTGTGCAAAAGTGAATTTCATATTTTGATCTAGAGGAACAAGGGCAGGCTTGGATCCAGATAACCCTGAAGATGCAATCAACTCAAGTGCATATTTTCTTTGACAAAGAGTGATACCTCTATGTGATCGAGCCACCTCAAACCCCAAGAAATATTTTAAAGACCCTAGGTCTTTGATTTTGAAATGTGTATGCAGTAGAGACTTAGTATTAGAGATAAGTGACATATCATTACCAGTGATAACGATATCATCAACATAGACAAGCAAAATAACAAGCTTGGAATGATCTCTCTTAATAAACAGAGAATGATTTGAGTGAGATTGACTAAAACCACCAGAAAGCAAGGCTGAAGTAAGCTTGTAATTCCAAGCCCGAGAGGCTTGCTTTAAACCATAAAGTGATTTATGAAGTTTGCAAACCAAATGTTGCTTACCTGTTTGAGAAAACCCTTGTGGAAATTTCATGTAAATTTCCTCTTGTAAATCTCCTTGCAAGAAAGCATTATCCACATCCATTTGAAATAAAGGCAAGTCATACATTGAAGCTAAAGTTAGAACAATCCAAACAGTAACCATTTTAACCACAGGAGAAAAAGTTTCATCATAATCCACCCCTGCTTGTTGAGTGTATCCCTTGGCCACTAGCTTGGCTTTATACCTTTCTAAAGTGCCATCAGATTTGTATGTGAGTTTATACACCCATTTACACCCTATAGGGGTCTTGCTAGGAGGTAAAGGAACTAAAGACCAAGTAACATTATGCTCTAAGGCTTGAATCTCCTTTTGCATGGCATCTACCCAATTAGGATCTTTTGAGGCTTGATTGAAAGTGGAAGGTTCAGTGAGTGAGGAAAACTAAGATAAGTAAGCTTGATAGGTAGGTGCAAGATGGGAATAGGATAAAAAGGTATTAATAGGATACTTGACATGAGTAACTAAATTTGTTTTGGATAGTGTGGGACAAATAAAATCTATCATCCAGATATGAGGTTTTGATATCCTAGTAGATTTTCTAATGGAAGGGTTTATATGTGATGATTATGTGGAAGAAAATTGAGGAACAACCTGTGATGATTGTGAGGAATTAGGTTGAGTGGATTCTGGAAGGGAAGAATCAAGGAAAGGGATAATAGAGGTTGGTTCTGTTGTCTGAACTGATGAAACATCTCTAGATAATGTAGACTGATCTATGATAGATGAGGAATGTGAAACAAAGTCTAATTCCAAGAATGGTTCTGATAAAAACATAGGTTGTGATGATTTTGACAAAGCAAATGGAAAAACTGTTTCATAAAAGACCACATCTCAATTAACTTGAACAGAATGTGTTTTTAAATCATACAACTAATAACCTTTCTGTGTAGGTGAGTAGCCTAAGAAAACACATGGAGTGGACCTTGGAGAGAACTTGTCCTCAGGAGATAAGGCAGTAGCATAAGCAAGGGAGCCAAAAACTTTCAAGTGATCAAGGTTAGGTTTTTTACGGAAAAAAATTTCATATGGTGATTGCCCTTGAAGAACTTTAGTAGGTAACATATTTATAATGTAGATTGTTGTCTTTACACAATACCCCCAAAAATTATGTGGAACATGTGAATGAAATTTCAAGGCTCTGGCTACTTCCAATATATATATGTGCTTCCTCTCAACAATACCATTTTGTTGAGGGGAATATGCACAAGTACTTTGGTGGTCTATACCTTTGTCATGCAACAATTCAAAACAATTTTTATTAAAGAATTCTAATCCATTATCAGTCCGGATATAGTTAGAAGTCTTGTCAAATTGATTTTGTACCATGGACAAAAAACATTTAAATGTTTGAAAAACATCAGATTTGAATTGCATGAGGAAAAGCCAAGTTATCCTAGAATGATCATCCACAATGGTTAGAAATATCTTGCATTTCCATGAGTGGGTATCTTATATGGACCCCAAACATCCATATGCAATAGATCAAAGGTACTAGCAGTAGTAG